CATCAACATCTCACCATAAGCACCCACCAGCACCCATCACAAGTACCCACCAGCACCCATGAGCACCCACCAGCACCCTAACATCAGCATCCATCAACATCTCGCCATCAGCACCCACCACCAGCACCCATCATCACCCACCAGCACCCACCAGCACCCCAACATCATCATCCATCAACATCTTGCCATCAGCACCCGCCACCAGCACCCACCAGCACCCATCACAAGTACCCACCAGCATCCATGAGCACCCCAACATGAGCGCCCATCAGCATTCATCAACACCTTTCAGCACCCACCAGCACCCCAACATCATCATCCATCAACATCTCGCCATCAGCACTCACCACCAGCACCCACCAGCACCCCAACATCAGCACCCACCAGCACCCCAACATCAGCACCCACCATGAGTAACCACCAGCATCCACCAGCACCCCAAAATCAGCATAGAATCATAGAATGGTCTAGGTTGGAAGAGCCCCTTGGGATCATCGAGTCCAACCATCTCCCCTACTCTACAAAGTCCTCCCCTACACCATGTCCCTCAGCACTGCATCTAAACGGCCCTTAAACACCGCCAGGGATGGGGACTCCACCACCTCCCTGGGCAGCCTGTTCCAATGCCCGACCACTCTTTCGGTGAAAAATTCCTTCCTAATGTTCAATCTAAACCTCCCCTGTTGGAGCTTGAAGCCATTGGCCTTCCTGGCCCCAAGAGCACCCTGTTTACTCAATAACAATCACTCAATAATCCCACCCCAGCACTACCGCTACGTCAACCGCACGGCCAAGTACGCCGGGACCTACATCGCCAGCGAGGCCCCGCTGCTGCTCAGCCAGATCTCCTTGGTGGACCCCGAGGACAGGTAACAAAATGGGGGACGTGGGGACCCCAAAAGGGAGTCCTGGTGTCCCCCCCAGCCAACCTTTACTCAATAACAATCACTCAATAATCCCACCCCAGCACTACCGCTACGTCAACCGCACGGCCAAGTACGCCGGGACCTACATCGCCAGCGAGGCCCCGCTGCTGCTCAGCCAGATCTCCTTGGTGGACCCCGAGGACAGGTAACAAAATGGGGGACGTGGGGACCCCAAAAGGGAGTCCTGGTGTCCCCCCCACCCAACCCAACCCTCGACCCGCTGGGGTGGTGGCAGGAAGCCGACGGAGGTGGAATGGCGTTACACGGAGGAGGGCGAGCGCGTCCGCGTCTCCCTGCGCAGCGGCCGCATCATCCCCCTGCCCCTGCGGCAGCGCCGCGACGGCATCGTCCCCGAGCAGTGGATCGGTGAGTTTGGGGGGACTGGGGGGGGGGCAGGAACATAGGGAGGGGTTTGATCCCCCCCCCAGGGGTCCGGGGGTCCCCCTGAGTCCCCCAGCGTTGTCCCCTGGGCCATCCCCCTGCCCCTGCGGCAGCGCCGGGACGGCATCCTCCCCAAGCAGTGGATTGGGGAGTTTGGGGTGACCTGGGGGGGGGGGACAGGAAAAAAGGGGGGGGTTTGATCCCCCCCCCAGGGGTCCGGGGGTCCCCCTGAGTCCCCCAGCGTTGTCCCCTGGGCCATCCCCCTGCCCCTGCGGCAGCGCTGGGACGGCATCGTCCCCGAGCAGTGGATCAGTGAGTTTGGGGGGACTGGGGGGTTCACAGGGATATAGGGAGGGGTTTGAACCCCCCCCCCGGGGGTCCGTGGGTCCCCCTGAGGGGCTCAGCGTTGTCCCCTGTACCACGCAGACGGCCCCAAGGACACGTCGGTGGAGGACACGCTGGACAAGACGTACAAACCGTCCCTCAAGACCTTCGAGGAGGAGATCATGGACGCCCTGGGGATCGTGGAGACACGCAGGGCCAAGAAATCCTACTGGTATTAACTGGTGGGGGACTGGGAGAGATGCGGGGGGGGACACAAACCAAATCCCCCCCCCTCCCCGCCTTGGGCTGGGGTCTGCAATAAAGACACCCCTTTTATTTTCCCCTTTTACGTGGTGCTTTCGGCGCAGCTCACCCCGAGTTGTACAAATCCTGGGGTTTATTGTGGTTGGCGCCCGGTGCTGGGCACTGGGGGTCTCTGTCCTTCTTGGGGGGGCTCTGCCCCCCCCGTGTCCTCGTCCTCGCTGCTCTCCTCCTCCAGCCCCTCCAGCACCGTGCCCAGGGGGGTCCGCGCGGCCACCAGCACCAGGTTTCGTGGGGAGAACCGGGGGTTGAAGAGAGGGACGAGGGCACAGTGGAAACCTGTGGGGAGAAGCGTTGGGGGGGGTCAGGACCAGCAGCACCGTGGCCCCCCCCCCGCCCCCCCCCACCCCCCATGTCAATCTCCAACCCTTGATGTCCATCCCCACGTCCTCCCCACCCCCAACCATCTCATGGTCGTGGCCAT